GGGTTGATTTATGACTTGATCAAAAGTTGGTGAATGTGTGGTTGTAGAAACAGTGGTGACAAACGGTGGTAAAGAAGTATTGGTAGTGATGATAGATGTTTCGAAAATACCTTGAGTAGACATGAGGTTTTCTGTGTTCGAAACTCCTTCACCCATGTTGACATGTACATCCATATTAGATACGTGTGTAAGAATGCCTAAGGTTCGAAACTCCTTCACCCATGTTTACACCTATATCCATCCAAAACTATAAAGATTACATAAATATCCAAAATTATATTTTAATTAGAATTATATCAATTTTTTATTAAATATTTTATACAATATTCAGAATTATGTACTGTTTACCAAATTGCCCTTTATCTTTCTTCCATCGATTATGCCTCTTCTTTATTACTTCAATACATCTCTCTCGATCAATTCAACATACCATCTCCCTCACCTTCTTCTTCCTTTCTCTATCAACTACCACCACCGGTAAACCTCCATGCCTCCGTTCCTGTCATGCTACTTCGAATAACTAGTGGGGCGACTACTCTTCATAATTATGATCGGTCGTCAATGGCTGAATATTGGTTTCTCGGTTTATGCTTTGTTATAATATATTCAGAATTAGATGCTTAATTAGTGAAGTAATTTATTTTGGATGGTTTAATTTGTGTTGCGTTGTACTGATATGTGTATAATTTACGGTTGGATTTTTCCATTGATATAGTTTTTGTTATTGCCTTCGTTTCTGGTAACTGTACTTTGAGAGTTTGGTACATTTGGCCTCAAGAATCGAATTTACCAAATTGATATTCCCATTGGATCTTTTTGTGTCTGTTAATTTCCAGCCTCAAGCAAAATCTTTATTACTTATGGGAAGTTTATTAGGAGTGGACAAGGCTTAATCTATTTTTATGAGCAATTCTTTGACCTTTGTGGTTTATCGAAAACTTATGGCTTAATCTTTTATATGTTTCGTTCCCACAATTAGTTCTCAATGGAGATGGTGGTGGTGAGATTGAAATATTGCCGAAGTGCTATTATCTAAGTTTAAGGAGTTTCTTTCATGTGTGCTTTTTTTATGAAGCTGTGATGAAAGGTAAGGGTTTTAATTCTAGCTATTATCTAAATATGTTAAGGATTTCTTCTATGTGCATTTTTTTATGAGCTGACCAAGGTAAGGGTTTTAATTCTTTTCCTAATAGAATAGATTCTTAATCTTCATCTTTGAGGACGTTGGCATGGCTTCTTCCAATTTGGTATGGATTCTTAATATAATATTGTTGTTTGGTTGAAGTAATGCATATATGAGTGTTTTTCAGGAAAGGTTGCTATGTTGGGTTTTATAAGGGGATGCAGAGTGTAGTACTCATAAAATCCCAATCCATAACCCCATTTCAAACTATGGTCCCATTTCACTTGGATTGAGATGAACTAAGAAGACGATATACCACTATTGAAGGTTTTGATTTAATTGGAATTTAATTAGAAAACGGTATTTTGGTAAACTAATATATAATTTTGAATATTAGATAAAAAAAGTTAATAAAAATTGATATAATTCTAATTAAAATATGATTTTGGATATGTATGTAATTTTTATAGTTTTGGATGGATATAGGTGTAATTTCAAAGTTTGCAAGGATACTGAAGTAATATTTTGAGTTTGCAAGGATATATAGGAAATTTTCCTTTTAATGTATGTTATACACGGCCAGTCCAAACATATATTGCACCCGGGGCGAGAAGAAAAGAAGGGCCCTCAACGTCAAATATAATAAAGATTTGAAAAAAGACATCAATAAAAATAAACTGATAATATCATCAATAACACAAATATAACCATAATATTTATAAAAAAATAACATATTTAAAGGATAATAATTTTCTAACTTTTTTATATGCAAAATCATTGATAATACTATCAATTTATCTAACATATATTTCTTTATACATAATATTGTCAAACCATTCAATATTTCTTATGCAATTTTCTTTAATAACTTCAGTTTTGAAAAAAATTCACGATTCAAATGCAACAGTAACATGCATGGTTAATAAGATGTTATATGCTACAAAAACATTTGGATAACAATCACTTTGATTCAGAAAAAAAATATAATTTCATACCACATCGCATACATTGTCATTACAAAAAGTAGCAACAAACTTTATGAAACATTTTATTATTATCCATAGTTGTCAATCTCGTACGAGTCACGAGTCGACTCATTTTATACCCAAAACGAGGTGACTCGGTGTATGACTCAGTTTTAGGTATGACTCGGTCAAGATTTACAAGTCCTTGTCCAATTCGTACCAAGTCGAGTCAACTCGTGACTCAGACGAGTATTGCGTGTCGTAGATAATCACATGATCCGGTGGGTAAACAAATTATCTAGCGGTTAATAACGATTTTTTTCTTGACTACTAGTCTGAGAACTGTTAAGAACATTGGGGAGAAGACCAAGAATGTAGGAGTGTGGATTAGAGGTGCTAACAGAAAAAAGTTTAAAAAAAATACGAGAGTGTAGAGGTTAAGATCTTCAGATTTGAACGTAGAGCTTAGATCTTCAGATTTGAACCCATGAACAGATGAACTGTGAAAGAAAAAGTTAGGTGAGAGTGCATCAAGAGTGAAGACCTGCAGAAAAGATGTTATAACTCTAAATGCATTTTTCTTTATATATCAACATCTATACTAAATTTATACTCCAACTTTCACCACATGTTTATATTGGCCCCCGCTCTACTATTTTTTAACACTCTAGGCCACGAAATATAATAGATGTTCATTAATATTCAATGAATATTATGTTTTATATATGTATTATATATTTATATATAATCTTTGTAAATATCATGAATCTTTCGAGTCGAGTCTCGATCCGAGTCACGAGTCAAAAATTTACATGTTCAAGTCACGCATCGAGTCACGAGTTAAGAACTATGTTATTATTCATAACTATAGACTATTTTAAGAAATTAGTACACCCGATTTCTATCTTAGTGGAAGCTTAATATTAAAGTAAGCTAGTAAATAAAATCAATAATAAAAGTCGTACAAAATGATAGATAAAGTAAAAGCAAAAAAAAACTGATAACCTAAAATTCTGATTAATATATTATCTTATCAAATCAGAAATCTAATATTTGAAGCTGAAACTTTGAAAGATACAAATCAGAAACAAGCATCATAATATTGTAGAATATTTGGAACAAATCAGAAAACATTTTACCTTGATGGGTGAAAAATCTGAAACTTAGGGCAATGCATTTCACTGTTTCTGTAATAATAAACTTTACAGATTTCATGTACAAACAAAAATCAGAAACAAAGATTATAATCTTTCAGAAAAAGAAATATGATATACAAACTTAGATTGATAAGAAAATATCAAATTCAAAAATCTAAAAGAAAAAAACGATATACAAATCTATAAGCTTTCAGAAACAAAAATCATACCTTAAAGTTATCTAGATAAGTCTTAACAATTCTGGAATCAACATAAATTCAAAAGAAGATGGTGTGGTTAAGAATCGACATTGAGAGGTAGAAGACGAATGGCGGAGTGTGAGAAAGTTTGAGAGAAACGAGCGTGAGGAGTAAAGTATGAGAAAAACCAGAGTGGGAAGCACAGAGAAATCAATTGTGAGTGTAAGAGAGAAGAGTAAATGACGATTGAAGCAAGAGAGAATAACGATTCTAGAAGCGATAGTTGAATGCACTTCTAAGTTCTTATGTCAAGGGGAGAAGGCGACATCATGACGTCGACGATGCACGAGTTCCCGCCTGATGTATATCACGATTCAGTTACCATTATCGATGATGTCGATTATATTCACAAGGCTTTTTAATTCCCGCTTTGGAGCTTCATTTGTTCTTGACCATTCTAGATGCACATTCATCTATCATCGAACATCGAACAAACCGAGGGATGGCAAAAAAGCCCGAACCCGACGGGGAAACCCGAAACCCGATCATTTCCAGTCGGGTAACAGGTCATTATCGGGTTTTTTATTGGGTTCGGGGCAGGGAGTGAGTTATCCCCGCCCCGCCCTGATATATATAGATATATATATATATATATATTATAATATATATATTATATATATATATCTATATATATATATATATATAACATTGCTGTGAATGAATCATTTTTTATGTTTTGACATATTACACTAAACTTAAATCAAATAATTTTTTAATATAACGTTCAGTTTATTTTATTAGACTGATGCATCATATTTTTAATTTAAAAGGGAGGCTGTAACATGTATGTTTTATAAGACATTGGGGTACCCTAAAACGGAATAAAGATTTCATTATGAATTGTTGTAAACCCGATAATTTACCCAAAACCCGACGGGAAAACCCGAAACCTGATGGGCTCCCCGATAAGATACCTGAAAGATATCGGGGCGGGTTTGGGAAATCATACCCCGCCCCGAACGAATTTCTTTATTTTTGGGCTAACTTGAGTTTGGGCTAATTTATGTTTGGGCTAAATTGGGAATCTGGTAATTGGGCCCCTAAGAAATGTGTACATAATTGTTTACATGTATATAATATATAGACCATAAATTTTGGCCCACTTAGAGACGTGTACCATGGGCGGCCGCCCGAATTGCCAATGTCAGGGCCGACCCTAATGTTATATTTTGCAAATGAATGTTATTTTGGGATAATGACTTGAGAGGGTAACATACTATTGCTTTTGGTCACATTTGGTCATTAAACTTTTTTTTGTGCTCTAATAGCCATTTAACTTGTTGATTCGTGTAAATTTCCCCCCTATGACTGATTATAGCCGGTTTCAACGATTGCATGGGTCTGATGTGGCTTTTTAATCCTATGTGGCCAATGAGGTGGCATGTAGGCCCCGATTTTGCCTCCCATACTCATTAAAGTTAAGAGTGAAGTCTCGTTTGGTCCTTAAATTCGATTAGGGCACCAAGTCTCATTAACCCCCGATTTTTTCTCCTTCAATCTTCAATCGGTCTCTATAATGGCTTCATCACAATGTCCCACTGATCGAAACTTCTTTGTAGTGGATTTCCACTACAATGGAACGTTTGCACCCAACCCATTAGTATACTTTGATCCCGACAGACAATCAGTAGGAGATGTTGACTTCAGTGCATTTGAGTACGAGGAGTTCATGGAATTCCTTCAAAAGCTCACCAGAACTAGAAGCAAAGACATCTACTTCTGCCTTCCACAAGAGTCTTTAAGTCATGGAATTCATACACCGGTGAATGACGGTGATTACAAAGAATTTTTGGATTTGGCTTATGCAAATGAGAGGAGAATGAATGTGTATGTGGGCCACTATAATGAACCAATCTTCGAATGGATTGAGGAAGAGGAAAATGAAGATCAAGACTACAGCTGTGAAGAGGATGAAGACTCGGTATTGTCGGACACTTATTCTGTTGACCATGAATAAGATAATGCTGAATATCCATTCCCAGCCAACAAAACCATGGGTGACAGGTTCTTAAACAAACTTTTGTCTACACACATTAAATGTAGATGATGTATATGAAGATGCTGAATATGTTGAACCTCAATACCCTATACATGATTATAGACAACCATGGAATCAGATGAAACCACTGTTAGGTATGCGATTTTCTAACCCTGATGAGCTTAAAAACATGTTGAGCAACTATGCAGTTGTTAATGGATATGATCTCTGGTTTGAAAAAAATGACTCCCAAAGGTTGTTAGTTAAGTGTTGCAAAAAAAACAAGTCGCGTACTTGTCCATTTAGACTTTGGTCCTCCTGGATGAGTAAAGAGAGGACTTTTCAGATAAAATCTTTAGTTAGTGAACATAATTGTAGCAGGGTGTTTAAGTTTTGGTCCATAGTAACTTATAAGTGGTTAGGCAAACAGTTTATGAGTGAAATTATAGAGAAGCCAAAAATGAGTGTTAGGAAGATGAAAGCTAAAGTTTCAACAACATTCAATATAAATGTGAGTGTGGGGCAATGCAGAAATGCAAAGAAATTTGCATTACAAGAAATTGAAGGAAGTCTAATTGAACATTATGGGAGATTATGGTCATATGGTCATGAAATTCTAAGGACAAACCCTGGGTCTATTGTGAGGATGGATGTAGACATCATGCCAGATTCCACAACTTTGTTTTCTAAGTACTATGTCTGCTATAAATATATGTGATTTTCTAACATGTGCCATAAGACATGTGTAAGAAATATTAATTATAAGGAATATTACCGTAATTAAATATGAAATACTTTAGTTATAAAGAATATTCTTCATAATTAACACATTTTACATTTTCCATGAATAATATTCTTTATAATTAATGTATTTCACATTTAATTATGGTAATATTTCTAATAATTAATATTTATTATGTGTGCCCTAAAGGTATATTTGATAAGATATATAAACTAATAACCAACATAATTATATAATATTTTTTTTATTTTGTAAAATGCTACAATAAATATTCTTATTTGTCTCAATCAAATCATCTTAAATACAGTACAAATTACATAAATTGTCCCCATGATTTGTTCTAATCTATGATATCATCCTTATAAAGAGTTTTTTATTCAGAGAGATCCCTGAGATTGGTTATATTTCAACTGTAGCACCTGATCACATTAAAATGATGATTTGCCCTTAATGATATTTTTAAATTATTATTAAAACAATTAAGTCCACAACCCACTCCATTCCTCTTCGTTCTCCAACTTATATCTCGGAGAAGATCGACATGAAACCCACACACCGTCCTTATCATTTTATTCCCTACACAAAGGCTAGAAAAAACCTAAAACATATATTTCCATGGACAAAGCCACGTAGCCCAACGATGCATCAACTTTATGTACAGCTTTACCACAATCAAATTCTCTTTATAACCAATAACACACAAAGCATGGAAAGCATTAGGTTTCACCTGATGACATACATACAAATAGTAATACACACATCATCTATATATATATAATATATATATATATATATATATATATATATATATATATATATATATATATAGATCATAAATAATAACCAATATTACAAAGATCAACTTCACACAAATATGGAAAACATTATGTTGCATATGCTTTTGGATCTTAATCGCCAACAAAAATAAACCATGTTGTTCACCAATGCACTTTTAGAAGTCATCGGAGCACATGTCAAACTCCAAGAACCCTAGCAATTAATGTGTCTTAAATATCAACAGAACAAAGATTAACTTAGAAACTGTTTGAGTGAAAAAATAGCTATGGATGAAAGTCAAATATTATGCTAAACACGGGGATAATTTGTGTAATTTGCTATCTTACATTACTAGCAGTTAATGCATCTTAAATATTAGCATGGTGCACTATTTCCTCTCATGGATAGATTGAGAACCCAACTGTCTATAAAAAACCACTATTACAATTTATGAAATTAAGTTTCTTATAAACCTGTCATATACAATGCGTAGCCTCTTGATTTGTCTCATCCTAGCATTTTCCTTCCCTTCCATCACAATCTTGCTTCTTTACTCCACAATGGAAGATGTATATTATTAACGGTACTCCTGATAATATTCTTATGCATGTTAGATCAAAAGATGATGATCTCGGGAAACATAATGTCACTTCAAATGGTTATTATCATTGGTCATTTTGTGATAGACTTGATAGCACAACAACATTTGATGCTGAGTTTTGGTGGGGTCAATCATATGATTGCTTGGAAGCGTTTGCTAAACTTGCGCGAAGAACGTGCGATAGGTTTGGAGGGATTGGATTTCGTGTTGTTTATTGTTATTGGCAATTAAGATCTGATGGATTTTATATATCTCCAGTGAATGTATCATTCCCTAATCCATCATGGGCGTTTTCTAAACCTTGGGGTTCAGGTGGAACGCTTTGTAGTACGCATATAGTATCGAATAAAGCATGATGAAATTAATATATTTTGATAGTTAATCTTTATGTGTGCATAGTGTGTTTATGCATTTATTTACTACTGTGAAAGTGTCCTTTTAAAAAAAAAATCTTACTATTAGGGTATGCAAATATTGAAAAATAACAAAGGATATTCACAAAATAACAAAATAACCATCTCCTTTATGATATATTTCAAATCGGTGTTGAATCTTGTTATTATTGGTTCGACCTGATGAAATTTATATATTTGCTTTGAATATATCGCTTCCTCATGCTTTATGGACATTTGTTAAACTTGGGGTCTTGGTTTCCTCTAATTTGCTCCAGATAATGAAGAAATTTTAAGACCCTTGATTAAATTATTTACTATAAGGTTTATATACAATATCATTAACTCTTTAGTTTTAGATAGAACCCTTTAATTTTATATATAACTTCTCACATTTACCTACTTTTGTCCTCATAGATATTTATAGAGTAGGTTTCCCAGTAAAAGTGTAAACTATCACATAACGTCCCTGTACCACGCCTGCATCTTCTGCTTAGACGTCTACCAATCTCCCTTTAACTACCATGGTTGAATACAGTTGAGAATGGAGACTGGATTCAACTGCTGCCCATGTCCTCCTTCTTCAACCAATATACAGAAGGCACTATCCGAGTTTACGGAAGCCACTATCTGATTCTGCACAGCCACGTTCACACTCTATTTCCGCTATATAAGACGGATTATGATCAGTTCATTATGTGACGTTTGAGTTTATAATTGAAGTTTTTTGGTGTTGCAATTGAAGTTTATTGCATTTTTGGATCCATACTCTTATAATATGTTGATTTTTGTTTTACTCTTAAGCCTGTATCGAACAGAATCAAGAGCGGGGTAGATGTTTGGCACTCTGGGACTGCTAAAGAAGACATTGCTTCTCTGCCAAACCTTCAAAAAGGTAATCTCTCTCTCTCTCCTCTCTCTCTCTCTCTACTCTCTCTCTCTCTCTCTTCTCTCTCTTCTCTCTCTCCACACACACACACAACGGAAATTGGTTTGAAGCTACTAATAATTTGAATTGGTCATTTTATTTGATTTCTTTGATGAAAATAATATGTTGTTTACAAAGAAACAAGTGGATAATGCTTTGCAGTGGTATTTAATTTTGACATATCAATAAGGAAATGACTTCTTGAGGTATACATTTTTTTTAATTACACCATGTTGAAAAATAATTCAAATTGTTATTGATATCCCATATTCATATTAGATGATGCATAATTTTCGGTATCTGTTAGATGAGGAAAAGGTTTGATTAATAGCAAGAGATATAGTTGTATTGTAGTGATATGTAGATGCAATAGAGAAGTCTATTATTCCAAGTAAGATTCTATATTCTATTTGGTTTTGACAAACAATATGTTTTCAAAACTGTGTTTATTGTTTAATGAGATTCAGTGCACTGTAGCCTCCAATTAATCATGTATATTGCTAATCTTTGCATTTACCACTATCATGTATTATTTTATATATTCCACCACACCATTATGTTTAGTCTCTATTTTGTTAATACGAACATTTAATCCAATGAAAATGTATATTTTGGGGATATTGTACCAATTTTTTCGATTGGCTAATGGATTTTCATGTTTTGAAGCTGACTGCATTGAATTCATACTTATTTTCAAACGTTTAACATACTTTTTGTTGTTTTTTCTTATGATTTAGAAAACTTTAAAATAAATTATTTTATGATGAACTTTATATCATTCTATTTTGATCTTATATGATGCAGCTGATAACTAAGTAGCAATATATCTTCTGAAACCCACGAGTATAGTAATTTACTTTGTTTGAATAGCATTCTAACTGTTTTTAAGCTCATAATAATGTGGGTTAACTGTGATTGTATCTATATTAAAGTACATTTCTATTTACTTTCAATGAATTATAGCAATGTAGTTTTAAAGTACAATGGTTTAGTTTGAAATATTTTAAAAATAGAAGTAATCTTTTTATAATACATGTGAGAAATATGTTATTTCAGTAAAAAAATGAAAGTATATTGCTTTTAAACGCATTTAACCCATATTTGGGCTGATTACAAGAATTATCAATAGAAGTGCATTGCTATTTGTTGTAGTTAACCTTCTAATGCAATGGTAATTTTGGATAACAGGGTTAGTTTTTCGGTTCTGAGCACCAAAACATAGCAATGTACTTTTGATGAGGGACTCACAGTAACTACAAACTTTAACAAACCAACCATCAGAGTGTATATTGAGAGCAAAAACCATCAATATTGTATCCAACTTTTTATATGGGGGATTTTAATAAGCAAACAAATTTCCTAGCACCTAGAACATTTAAGTAACAAGAGCACCATTAGCATTATACTTTTGATGTGAGCCTTACAATAACAAAGAACTTTGCAATAGATTTGGATTTTAAATTGGGACAGAACCATCTGGGACTGGAAGTAACAACCTTGAATCTTTTATATCATAGCATATAATTCCAAATATTTGCA